TTTTTTGGTCTTTTTGAGACAGGGTCTCCCTGTAGCCCCAGCTGTCCTGGAACTCAATATGTAGACCAGGCTGGCCTTGAACTCACAGAGATCCGCCTACCTCTGCCTCCCAATGCTGGGATTAAAGGTGTGCATCACCACGCCCAGTGTGAATCAAGTTTTTATAGGTGATTTTAAAGGGAAGTCAGAGTTATAACATCTTTACTTATTTGAAGTTTTCCAAAGACAGAGAGGGAGCTGGATGTGGTGGTACACATCTGTAATCCTATCACTTTTAATACTGAGACAGAAAGATCATGAGTTCAAGGCCAACCTGGGCTATTTAGTGAAACACTGAGAAAGTGAGCGATGGGGGGATAGCAGGAGAGAGAGAGGTCAGGTACATTCATTAGGAACCTTAGGGAGGGGGTTGTTACCCCTAGGGTCTAACATTTTCTACCTTTGGAAATCTAATGAGTGTCTTTTAACTTCTCAACTCAAGAACCTTAGTTTTTTTAAGTAGATTTTTACAAGTCTGTCTAAAATGTTGGTGTTGGATTTTAGAATACATCAATAGGACAATAATCTTGGGGAATATACATAGTTAGCTGTCTTTGATAACCATAACATAGTATCATATTATAGTGATACTTATTCATTATTGCCTTGTAGTTTTGGGTTTGGCTGCTTTTGTTTCTTGTTCTAGATGTATTTATTTCCCACCCTATACTTTTTTTTTTTTTTTTCTTTTTTGTTTTGTGTTTGGTTGTTTTTTTTTTTTTTTTTATATTTTTTTTTTTTCCCCCCCTTTTTTTTTTTTTTTTTTCTTTTTTTTTGGTCTTTTTGAGACAGGGTCTCCCTGTAGCCCCAGCTGTCCTGGAACCCACTATGTAGACCAGGCTGGCCTTGAACTCACAGAGATCTGCCTGCCTCTGCCTCCCAAGTGCTGGGATTAAAGGCGTGTGCCACCACGTCTGGCCCCCTACCCTATACTTTTATTCTACCTCCTTCTTTAGTAGTATTATACTTCCAGTTCCCTGTAAACTGGATCAGAAAACTGATCATATTTTAAAGGATAATCATTATACTCAAATGTTATATTCTAGGATAAAGTTACTTCCTGAGGATCTGAATGAACGCTTTCAAACCTTTCCATTTACTTCTGGTTTTGACAGTACTTAGGCTAGCAGAAAATACAATTTCCTATCTCCCAGAAATGTGCTATATTTATTAGCTGCAGAGGACCAGGAGCTCGGGACCAGCATGTTAATTGTAACAAGATCCCCATTCCAGGTAGCTCTAGGCTGTCTTGATTGTAGATATGCTGGGAGAGCTATTATAAAGTGAAGGCATTGAGATAGTTTTATATAGTTTTTTATTGTCCGTTTTTCTAATTTGTGAATTAATCAAATTTCTAATTTCAATCTCTATAATTGCTATTATTTCACCAATTTATAGCTCTCTAGATGTTTGAAAAATTTATTACTATCAAGAAATATATGAGGAAGATTAGGGGTTAGGGGCTGAGAGATGTCAGCAGTTAAGAGCACTGGCTGCTCTTGCAGTGGACCCAGGTTTGATTCCCAGCACCCACGCGGCGACTAACAGCTATCTGTAACTCCAGTTCCAGGGAATCTGTCACCCACTTCTGGCCTCCACAGGTATTACATAACACTGGTGCACTTACATTCATGTAGACAAAACACTCATAAAATAAAATATAAAAATAAAATAAAATTTTTTTAAAAATTAAAAAGGAGATTAAATGTGTAGGTACATGGGATATTTGAATTTTCTTGTTACCTATATTAAGGGTAAAGAGCTGGTAAACATGGACTCAAGCTGTTGAGTTCCACATAATTGGAATTGTGTCTTCACTAGGTATATAGAAATGAGAATAATCTACTTTGAAATCACTAGCCAGTGAATCTACGATATGCCTGCATTAATGCATCTGTTTGAGTGTATTGTTTTTGAAAACTAGGCTTAAGCTGGCTGTTTTCTGTTGACACAGGCTTAGTGGAGAAATCAAGCACCATTTACTCAAATTCTGCAGAATCATTTCTTCCTGGAATTTGCAAAGAATTGATTGGTTCATCAATAGATTTTCTTGGACAGAGTTATGATGAAGAAAAGACTATAGCAGATAGCCTGATAAGTAATCTTCTTAAAATTTACAACGGGCTGTTTGCCATTTCGAAAGCTCATGAAGAACAAGATGAAGAAAGTCAAGATAACCGTAAGCAATCTCACTGCTTTCACTACTCCTATAATGATTATTGTCTGCATTATACTGTTTGAAGTAATTTTTTGGCACATCTGGCAGTCTATGTTAAGATGTCTTAATGGTAACCATGTGTGTGGTTTTTTTTTTTTTTTTGGTCTTTTTGAGACAGGGTCTCCCTATATTCCCAGCTGTCCTGGAACCACTGTGTAGACCAGGCTGGCCTTGAACTCACAGAGATCCGCCTGCCTCTGTCTCCCGAATGCTGGGATTAAAGGCATGCGCCACCACGCCCGGCTATGTGTGTGTTTTTTTATTTGAGATTATTTCTTAACCGCTGAGCCATCTCTCCAGCCCCTGAGGTTATTTCTTCCAATGCATTTCCTCCTTTTTCCCAGTGTTCTCTTCTGACCGAGCAGCACAGGTACTTACCATCCAGACTGCTTGTGCTTTTGAGCAGCTTGTGGTTTTGCTTAAACACTGGCTGGATGATGTTCCTTCTGGTACCAACACAGCAAGGCTTGAAGATGAATCAAGACAAGAGGTTAAAAAACTGGGAGGCTACTTACAGTTATTTTTGCAGGTAAATTTATTTCTTATTTTTGAAAAATTAATTTGTTTTGCAAGTATTATTGGCTTTCCCCTACCTATATCTTCCTCAAAATTAGATCTGTAAGGATTTTTAGAAGCTTTCTGTTTTGAAGTCCTCAGACTGTGGATGTAGTTGGTTTATTGAGTGAAGACTTGCATGTTCTCTGTATACCAGTGGTTCTAAGTGATTTATAAATATTGACCCTTTTAATCCTTATAACAACTCCCAAATGGGCGCTGCTTTCCAGGTGAGGAAGTAGCAGCTCAGGGTAATGAGTGTCTCACTCAATGTTCTTCAACTCATAGGTGATAGAGGTGAATTTGAACACATGCATTCTTGGACCTTAGGCTCATACTTCTCATTATAAACTCTCAGCCAGCAGTTAAGGTCATTGGGAATAGAGGCAGAGTCCTGCCCTGGTTGTGGGTGGGGTTTCAGCTCATGCTTAATTAGTCACAAGCCTGTTGATATAGTGAGTGGCAAGGAAAGTAATTTTGTTTCCTGCTTATCTGATATCCAGTAAGATTAGGTTTGGCTACCAGGAAGAAGCAAGATAAAAGCTTGCTTTCTGTTCCATAAAGTATAGAGGTAGGCATGAGGTTCTGCTACCAGGGGAGGAGGGATCTGGCCCCTTCCTGTTTCCACTCTGCAATGCTGAAGTGTGGTCTTCATTCTTGCATGGTCTACCATGACAGTGCTGCATCTGAGCTGTGTGCAGCAGGGTGGGATACGTGACAAGGAAGGAAAGGGCCTTCCTTTAAAGGGAGGCTCCACAAGTCATCATATGATGCAGATGCTGGGCCAGAACTCATCATCTTACCAAACAGCTTTGTGTATCATCAGGAAATGAATTTCTTATTCTAGACACCCATGTGCCAAGTTGAAGATCAAGAGTTCTGTTACTGTGGAAGAGGTGAGGAGCTGCTGTTCGAGAGAGCCTCATTGCCATACCAGAGATCTCGATAGGGATGTCTTGAATATATGAGGGGAAAGATGAGAAACTACCAAGAGAGTTAAGATTTACTTTTTAGATGGATAATTAGACTTTATAATAAAATATTCTAGAATATTTGGTCAAGTTTTATGTGGTAGTGCCCACCAAGAGACTTTCCACATTTAAAAAAAAAAAGTTTTTACATTTATTTGTTGGAGAGGGGCACACACATCATGTGACATGTTTGTGGAAGTCAAGGACAAACTTGGAGTTGGTTTTCTCCTTCTACCATGTAGGTTCTGGGGATCGACTCACGCATTGGTGGCAAGCACCTTTACCCACCAAGCCGTTTCACAGGCCCTGACTTGTGCGTGTGTGTGTGTGTGTGTGTGTGTGTGTGTGTGTGTGTAGAATTTTTGTTGTGACAAGTACTTCCTGAGTGGGCTATTTTCTGGCTGAGTTTTAGAAATCTTTAATATTCATTGTGTTCCCCCAGAAGATCTTTCTGGGTCTCCCCAAGCTTGGTTAGGTACCTCTCTACTTGCTTATCTTTTAGCTCTGTACTTTACTTATGCTTTTAATATGTCATACTATTTGATAAGTTTGTGTACTTAAATAACAGTGTGCTCTGAGACGGTATAGGAACTGTGGGTATCCTTTGCCACAAGGCCTTAAAATGTGACAAATGCCTAGCTGGATATTTGTTGAATGAATCTTATTAACACTGAATAAAGGGTCACTTTGGATGTAGGTCATGAGAATATAGAATGAATGTAGGACAGGGATAGACTACAGACAGATGGGGGTGAGCTTCAGATGAAGGAGAAGCTCTGGCAGCATAGAACCCTGGAAATGGAAGGTGGATTGGCCAGAGAGCAAAGCTAGAGAGCCAGAGGCTGAGGGTCTGACTTAGACTCAAACGAGAGAGAGAGGCATTGTAAGGATAGCTGGGGAGGGGGGACGACATGCACCCACAAACCAAAAACTCATTATTGATATTTGAAATTCAGCGTTTTAATCCATAACTAAGTTAATTGGTTTCCTTAGGCAAACTTAACTTTTTGAGGTCCTCCATTTTTTTTAAGCTGGAAAATAAAAGTAATAAAGCCTACCTGTTAGGGTACCTGGTTACCACCTGAAACAGTGTTACAAGAAAGTGCCTATTAGAGTGTCAGATGAGTAATTTCTTTTCATCTCATAATTTTCTAGGAAAAATACTTTGAACCTATAGGTTTTGACATATTTCCTTGAGGAAATGCTTAATACAAGGAATAAGAAATGAAGAAGCCAGGTCGAGCTCAGACTTGTGTTAAGCTGGTGTTAGCCAGAACACTTCTAGTGAAGCGTGGTGTGAGAACCTTACCTTGTAGCGGTATAGTTACCATCTTCCATGAAGCAGGCCAACACAAGTGTTCTGAGAGCCCTGCAGTGGGACAGGAACAGAAGAGAAACTCAGGAGCAGGTTTCTGTGTCTTTGAGATTTGTGCGCTCCGAGTGCCTATGAAATGCCTGTTGTTTAAAGGAGTTTGGCTATTTTTTCTTCTCTACCGCTCCTTTGCTTTCTCCCAAAGGCCAAAGTGACAGCTGTTTCTCTTTGTGGTGTTTACTTATAAGTTCTGTCTCATGTTTAGTTAATTTCAGACTTGCTTTATGTCTTAGTGTATGAAGTCTTTGAGGTTAGAAGAAGCTGTGTTTTGTTTATAAATCTTTAATAGCTTCAGGACTGCATGTTTTCTGGTACTCACAGACATCTATGAAGAATAGCCAGGTTATGAATGCAGTATTAATTTTCTTGTTTATCTTATTACTGTTATTTTTAACACTAGGGCTTAAATTGAGACCCTCATGCAAGCTAAGCACGTGCTCTGCCCCTGAACTTAACCCCCTTTTCATGTTGTCTTTGCTTTGTCAGCCGTTAAAATCTCATAAATCTAATACACTGGTCCATTTTCATCTTCTAGGGATGCTGTTCAGATATTTCATCAATGATAAAGGAAGCTCAAAAGAAAGTCATCCAAATTATACAACAAGCAGCCCAGTATGTGGGACAGTTAGCAGTTCTGAAAGGAAGCAAACTCTGTTTTCTGGAAAACAGCAACAAGATGGCCAGTGCCCAGGTAGGGCACTGAGGTGAAAGACTTCATCTGAGGGAACATTAGAGACTTCCGATAACAGTATCATGTCACAACGCAGATTCATTTTATTTTTCCATATAATTTTTAATATTTTGTCAATAAGACTTAAAATTTTTGTGATCAAAATTAAAGTAGGGTTAGAATGTAGCTTGTTGGTAGAGTGTTTGCCTAGTCTGCATAAAGCCCTGGGTTTAATCCCAGCACTGCTTATAACGATGTGGTGGTACATACCTGTAATCTCAGCACTTAGGAGGTAAAGACAGGAGGATCAAGAGTTCAAGGTCATTCTTGGCTATAAGTTCCAGATCAGCCTGGGCTACATGAGACCATGTCCCAAAATACAATAATGACAAAAAAATTGTTTAAAATAACTACAAATGTTTAGAGTCCTTTTGAGATGGGGGTGGGTACATACCTGTAATCTTAGCACTTGGGCAGTTGAGGATCATGAGTTTGAGGCCAGCCTGGGCTAATAATAAGATCCAATCTCAAAAACCAAAGGAAAGAAAATAACTCCTTTTGCTCCTTGGTTTGATGATTGCTATCAACTGTGACAGTGTCCCCCTAGTCGACACATGAAAAAACAGTAATTTTAGGATATTTGTTTTTGCCTACTTTATTTATGCTATAAACAATACTATATTAGAAGGCATTGTATTCTAGCAAAATAATGTGCTGCCCAAAATGATAAACGTTCTTCCAACATGCTATATGTGGCATACCAAATTATGCTTTTGTTCATTTTATTTCCTAATAGACTGGGTTTTTGTTTTTGTTTCGAGACAGGATCTCACTATGGAGCTCTGGCTGGCCTGGAACTTGCTATGTAGACCTTGCTGGGCTTCAACTCATAGATTCACCTGCCTCTGACTCCTGAGTGTTGGAATTAAAGGCATGCACCACCACCACATCTGGCCGAGTTCTTATGCTAGTGTTAGTTGAACTTGTTAGGGTCTGACCTACTGCTGCCCCTTTATAGCATAGTAAGAAGAGTCCTCTGTCCAAATACAGGAACTAAGTTATTGAGCACCCTGACCATTCACAGACAGGACAAACAGACTCCCTGCATCTATGACCTAAGCCCCGATTGCAGCAAGAGCTGTCTTCAGCACTACCCGTTTCCCCTTTGATAATTTTAGAAGAGAAGAGACCCCTTATCCCATGACCCAGACCCTGGTCGGTGTAAGGGGCAGTTTCAACAGAACCTGCCTCCCCCTGCAGCCTGCAACCCTTCTGCTTGGTTTAAACTTTTTAACCTTCCGCATTCCCAGCCCCCTATAAAACCCCTAGCCAGCAACCTGAAGGGCAGCAGATTCCTCTTTTCCTGAAGAGGGCTGCTCCCGGTGACTTCTAGAAATAAATCTCTGCTTTGATTTCTGTGTGGAGTCCTCCTGAGTGGCTTTTCTCTCCTGAATTTTACCTATCAGAACTTAATAAACTTGGGATATATTTAAACACCTAAATAAGCAGGACTTATAACTTACTTACTTTAAAATATATAAAGCCAGGCCAGCAAGATGGCAGGTAAAGGTGCTTGCTATCAAAGCCCTATGACCTCAGTGCCGGGATCCCATGGACCCACATGGTGGAACCAACTCCTGAAGGTCCTTTGACCTTTGCATGTGCTCCATGACACATGTGCCTGTACGCAAACATACACCACAAATAAAGTAATAAAAATTTAAAAGCAAATATGCCAGTTAATGCTTGAAACTTTCTAGCAGGAGTTCATGGCTGCTCTTTGTGAAGGTGTGACCACAGGCATGAAGATTCTGTTAGATTCTGGATCAGAAAAAGCAAAAGAACTTCAGCAAGAACTCTTAAGGCAGTGTGCACAAAATGAGGTAAAATGAGTAAAAGATTGTTCTCCGTACTACTAAACAATTACACACTTGATCTAAAAAGTTTAATTTCATAATGTATATTATCTAAAATGAAATACTTTAAAATATTTTTAAAAGTAGTATAATACAGTAAAATAGATGTTGACATATTGCTTATTTATATATTTTAGTTTGTGTTGAATTTTTATTGAAGAAGCAGATGTTATGATGTCACTGTGATGCTTCTAAGCTGAGTGGAGGGTGGTAGCGACACTTAGTGTTCACTCTTTGGATGTCTTTTTCTTCCTTTCTCTTAGGTCTCTGATACCTAAGAATAGAAGCCAACACTTACTGATCCATTCATCTTGAACTAAATATTTTTCTAGGAACAGTCACATCAATATTTCATACGAAGATATAGAGCTGGTGATTTCAGTACTTCTAAGATATGCTTCTGCCTGTCTAACTGACTGACATTGATGTATGAGCTCAGAACACTGGTGCAGGTGGTATAGGAGGAAAGGCCTGTGTTTTTACACTAGACGACCTGTGTTTGAAGCCTGGCTCCATCACTTTCCTCTTGGTGTTTAGCAAGTCACTCAGTGCTCTGACCGTTTCTTCATCTGATATATATAAATAAAGCCTGTGTTACAGGCTGTGAGCTCGCTCTTTGCTGAGTGATTCCTGTAACAGTCACTAGATGATGCTTTATATATAATGATGGCGAACCTCATTTTTCAAGATGAGAATCACTATTATTCCATGAACTTCAGTGAGTTGGAGTATTTTGCCCAGTTATTCACCCATAAAATCCTGAGCAACAGTTTTCTGTTCTTTGACTTCAGAAGTCAGCATACTATGTGCAGAAGTATTGAAGTTCATTGTTCATGCATTAGCTGTCTTTATTGAATGTTATTGGTAAAGCAAGCATTAGGAAGATATAAAAATTCAAATATTAGGGCTGGAGAGATGCCTTAGTGGTTAAGAACACTGGCTGTTGCAGAAGACCTGGGTTCAAATCCCAGCACCCACATGGCAGCTAACAACTGTCTGTAATGCCAGTTCCAGGGGATCTGACACCCTCTTCTGTCCTCCTTGGGCATTGCATGACACGGGTGCACTTATATGCATCCATACATGCATACGCATAAAATAAAAATTCAAATATTATGACATTGAACTGAGAGACTAGACTGTTCCAGAATATTGTAACAACTCGTTAAGACAATTAATTCCTGGCCACTATTAATGTAGAAAGTAGATCCTGTGGACAGTGATATCTTCTACTCCTCTGAATAGTTTATAAATGGCAAGAGTGTAAATAAGCTAGGGCTTTTTTCTTTTTAGGAGAACCTTGGCATTAATGTATTTCTAGCTCAACTGAAGTGAAATGCCCTGGGAGAAAGGCATGAACCTTAAGCTGTATGCTTCCCACATAGCCTTTAAAAAATGGAAAAGCAAAAAATATATTTACTCATTCTTTGAAATTTTCATACATGCATACAATATATTGTAAGCATATCTGCCCCTCACTCACCCTCTACCTCCCCCAGGAGCCTCCAATCACATATCCCTCCCAACTTTATGTCCTCTTTTTATTTTTTTTTTTTTTTTTAAATAACTCACTGAGTCCAATTTATGTTCCTATATACTCGTGGGTGTGGGACCATCCACTGGAGCACCAGGAGCCACACCCTTAAAGAAAACTGAGTCTTTCTACCCCAGAATCCATCAACTGTCACTATCTCCTCAGCTAAGGAAGGGTAGGGGGCTTTTGAAACTCCTCCCATGCTGGAGTGTTAGCTGACTTGAATTTGTGCGGCAGCCAAAGCTGCTGTGAGTTCATGAGTACAGCACTTCTGTCATATCCACCAGACACTGCTCCGCTCCAGTCCTCCCTGACCTCTGACTCTTACAGTCTTTCTGTCCCCTCTTCTGAGATGGTCTTTGAGCCTCGGGTTAGGAGAGGGGTGGCATGTGATATAGATGTCTCATTTATGGCTGAGCACTTCACAAACACTTATACTCTGCACATGTAGTTTTGAGTAATGCACCTGTGCCTTTGTTATTCGATCTTTAAAATGGTGCTTGTTTTAGCTACGAGGAAAGGATTTATTTTATCTTACATCTCCTGGGTCCCAGTTCATCACTGAGGGAAGTCAGGGCAGGAACCTGGAGGTAGGAGCTAAAGCACAGACCACAGAGTAATGCTCATTACTGGCTTACTCCCCTGGCCTGTGCTCAGCCTGCTTTCTTATACAACCCAGGACCACCTGCTCAAGGGAGGCACCACCTGCAGTGGGCTGGGACTCCCTATATCAATCAGCAACCAAGACACTGCCTTACAAACATGCCCACAGGCCAATCTGATAGAGGAAATTCCCCAGTTGACACAGGTGTATCAACCTGATCACTGAAGCTTTATTCCATTATAAAAGAAATGGTACCTGGAAAATGCTAATTTGCACTTCCTGCTTGTACATGTTGCAGTCCCTCTTTCACTTGTGTATTTTTTATTTGTTTTAAAATGTGAACAAAACAGAAGTTCTTATTGTCACCAAATCAAAGTCTTTGGGTCTTGTGCAATTTCAGTAGTCAGTGAAGCTGATTCAGATTCTGTAGTGTGCCTTTGAAGAGAGGGATGTATTGGACTGTGTGGTCACATTCAATCTATTGTTGTCATCTCAAGATTGGGTTTACCCCAGGAGCAGTGCTGTTCATCACTAAAATGTTTTATCTATTGCTGGAATTCTGTCAGCAAAATTTCTGCTGGTAGTAGTCAGCATGTAGAATAAGATAGTGACAGGTGGATGTTGGGTCCGAGGTTCGGGGATGATTGGAGACCACCAACCAAAATTTGAAATTTAGAAGATTTTATTGAAAAGCATTCCAATTCTTGAACAACCAGTAGGGCACAGACTCCAGGAGCCAATGAATGGAGTCTGGCCCCGACCAACAATGGGGTGGGGGCGGTGATTGGGTACTCTTGAAAAAGCCCATGCAAACTAGGCTACCTTTGAATTGATTGGATAACTCTGAATTCCTGTGTGTGTGTGGGGGGGGTGGTTCATTGGTTATAGTCATGGTCAGATGCTTGGAATGTCTAAATTTTTCCTTTTATGGTAGGGTGCCCCTATCGGCCTCTGGATGTCCTTTTATGGTCAGGAATTTCGGTTGGTTTCAGCAGGGCATGTCCGGGCTTGCCTAATCTTAGCCCGCAGTATGGGGCAAAGGAGACTTACAGTTTCTAGGAACAGAGATTTAAGGCTGACAAGATGGAGGCTGCTAAAAAAATGGAGCCAGTGTGACCTGGATCCTTCAGTGGAGATGCAATGAGTGAGAATGTGCTAAGTGTTAAAGCAGCAGATAATATCTTTATGGTTGTTTTGAGGAAATAAATGAAAAGGGGTTCTTCATGAAGAACTCTGCTCTGTTCTGTTTTCTTTCTAGTCTGTCAATGCTGTGGTTTGTTTCATGGTGGGATTTTAGCTCATTGCATTCTTTTTTTTTTTTAATTATTTAATAACCACATACTTAGAAGAAGCATTTCATTACAACAGCATTGACATATTCAATAACAATTTCCAGAGTTAAGATGCATCTCTTTCAAAATTGGCTGTAGATTTTTAGATTTATAGTTATTACAGTTATACAATATTGTACTCAGTATAAACCTTATAAGACATAAAATTAAATGAAGTTTTAACCTTTAAAAAAGATCTCCATTTCATTATTAAAATACAGTTTCATACAGAAAAATTAATTTTTAATGCAATTGACATTAAGATATTTGCACATGCATTTCTAATCTCTATGTATCTGATTACTAGTCACAGTCGGATACTTTCTGAGCTCCTTGGCATCTGACCATGGATATGAAGTCGTCGGGTAGATTTCAATGGTAATGTTTTTCACATCTACTAATTATTAAGGAGCACATTTTTCTGCTTCGAAGAATTATTTTTTAATAATTTTTTTTTAATTTTTAATAACTATATGATTAGAAGAAGCATTTCACTACAGCTTTAACATTCAGTAACACACTCCAGAGCAAGAGTACATCTCTTTCACAAGTAGCTGCAAGTTTCTAGGTTCACAGTTGAATTAATACAGTTATACAATATTGAACGCAGTATAAGCCCTGTAAGACATAAAATTGAGTTTTTCCTTTAAGATTTTTTTCTTTTTTTTAATATATTTTATTTATTGTTTTTATGTGTATGAGCGTATTGCCTGCATGTATGTGAGTGCACCCGAGTCATGCAATGCCACAGAGGTCAGAAGAGGGCTTCGGAGTCCCTGGAACTGGAGTTAAGGGTGGTTTGTAGCTGCCATGTGGGTGCTTGGAATTGAACCCAGGTCCTCTGGAAGAGCAGTGAGTGCTCTTAATTACTGAGCCATCTCTCCAGCCCTATGAGTTTTTAACCTTTAAAAAAGATCTCCATTTCATTTTAGAATATATTGTTCTTTTCAGAAAGACTCATTGTTTTTGCTACTAACACTGAGATGTTGGTGCATGCATCTCTTAATCTGTATGTGTCTGATTATTACTAGTCATAGCATTTGCTTTTGGATCCTTGGTGCCTGTGTATGTCTATAAAGTCATCAGGTAAATTTCAATAGTAATGTTTACCATCTTTACTAATTAACATGACGTAAATTTCCATGCTTCCTCCTCAAATATACATTTTTTAAAATTCGTTGATTTTGTGTGTGTGTGTGTGTGTGTATCACACAGGACATCTCAAACCGTCTTATTCAACTATACACCCACTTCCCAGATGGCACCCTCCCATAGCCTCCCTCCCCCCACTAGAGCCCTTATACTCTGATATCCCTGCTACTGTCTGCTGTGTTGTCGGCACCCCAGCTATTCCCCACTACTAGCCCTTCTGGAGAATTTAGTCGGCCTATCTAGAGGTCTTTGTTTTAGAAGGGTCAGCTGTTCCTCATCTAGCAGCAATCGTTGTCAATATTCCTTTCGATAAGATTGGGGTCTGCTGTTCATTTTCCAAATTCTA